TTGGTAGTTTCCTCATCCATGTACCTATACTATACGCTAGCTAACTCAATTTGACTCTCTTCCCTCCCCTCCATCTGGGACGGTCCCCTTAAAACAGTATAGACTTTTATGGTGCATACAGAAGACTCAAAAGGTTGATAGAAATAAAAATGGCTAATCCTTATACATGATGATAATATTCCTACTGTTCCTATTCAAGATTAATGTTCATGGTACATAGAACTTATGGTTACATAAGTATTCCTAAATGCAGCAAACAGTACAGCTTATTTTAATACAGCTGCAATTTTGAGATTTGGGAAACACCATTGGTGCTTTTAGACTGCCTCTGCTAGTAGAGAGGCCCCAAAACTACCAACAGTGACACTAACAGTACCCACAGATTTACCATATTTTGGAGGATCACAAATACTAAAGATAGAACCATTAGTTCTGGAGCTATTTTCGTTGTTGTTATAGTAACTTGCCCTTTTTAGTAAACAAATTCACAAGTGGAGGAAAATTTTGAACACCCATCAGTACTTCTCAATTACAATCAAATACTCCATATATCAGTTTACAAGGCTGTTCTATATTTAAGCTGACTCCCAGAATTTCTATTAAAATACAATTGCTGTTTAAGACTATCCCATATCAGGTACTTACATCTGAGAGCTTCCTACTTTGAAAAGTCTTGTACTAACTAACCTTGGATCTGGGTGCTTTATGGCTTGCATGCGAGCCAAAATCTGGGCATTAGGCTTACTTTAGTGGCAATTTTCCCTGGTGTGTGTCTTGTAGGCCTGGTTCACTCAAACACTCGTTTGCAATATTAAGACTTCTTGCATCCTCTTTGCTTGTTCTGCATATAGTTTTCCAGTTTCTAAGGTGGTAATAGACCATTTTTGTTTACCCATTTATGACGGGTGTCCCATATATGAGACACTTCTCTCTTCTCTTCTCTTCTTTTCTTTGTCTTTGTCTTTGTCTTTGTCTTTTTCATTTTCTTTGTCTTTTTCTTCAACTATCTTTTTCTTTTTCTTTTTCCCCTAATATTCAGTTTTGCTGGAGCTGGCACTCTTCCAGGCATGACTCACAGATAGTACATTTCATCCTCTTTTACTAGTGGAAATAATGCAAAATAACCTTCCTAAAGCCCCAGTGAGTCTAGCCTCCTGCATAACAAGACATCCATGTCACCTGCCATTCAGCAACACTATCTTATGATGGCATGTTTTTATCACAAATTCCCTCAGCCAATTTTTTCCATGAGGACATACTATGTATTTGAAACTTATTTACTGGTATAGTTGTCTTTGATGTTATACTGCATTGTAGAAGATATTGTTATAAAGAACAGGTATTTATTTCTATTAGTAGACTTGCCTTACTTTACAAGTTTATTACAGAACCCCATACATTTATTAAACTCTCATAATATTTGAACAGTTTATTACTGTATTTTAGCCCTTAAATTATGCCCCATTAGAGGTCCATTGGGTGACATGCAGTGTACATAATGTGAGATATTTACAGTCAGAATGTGCCTTGCATTTGGTATTTTAGTTTGATTTTGTGCTTCTGGGGTCCCTCAATATCTGCTCTGCATCCTCCCAATGCATAATGATACTATGATTACCTTCAGAGAGCATTTGGCTACATAGATAACCAACTTCACCAGGGAAATGAGGAAATTATGGCTGAAGCATTCTGTCAGGACCATCTTGGAATGATTTGCCTTCATTTTTTATGAAGAGTTACAAGAAACAAAGCATTACAAGCTATATTACTTTCACACACACACACACACACACACACACACACACACACACACACACACACACACACACACACACACACACACACACACACACACACACACACACACACACACACACACTCACACACTCACACACTCACACACTCACACACTCACACACTCACACACTCACACACACACACACACACACACACACACACACACACACACACACACACACACCACACACACACACACACACACACACACACACACACACACACACACACACACACACACACACACACATACACAGGCACCACACAGGCACGCACACACAACACACACACACACACACACACACACGCACGCACGCACGCACGCACGCACGCACGCACGCACGCACGCACGCACGCACGCACGCACCCACCCACCACACACACACACACACACACACACACACACACACACACACACACACACACACACACACACACACACACACACACACACACACACACACACACTTTTTTATTCTATTTTCCGTCCTATAATAAAAGCATCGTTTTTAATCCTCTTATTGATGGGCATAGTTATAGCTGTCATGGAAAGCCGTCCCTTCATGATGGAAACCATGTATAGGTGTCACAACTTGCTCGAGTACACAGCAAATGCCCTGCCGGAAAAGATAGATGGTTACCATCAGTCACCTTAAAGATTACCACACAAAATATTGGCCCTGTCCAGTGATGTAGATAGAGT